TGTAGTTCATGTAGTTCTCCATGTCCACTTGTTGCTTGTTGCTACTGACAGTAGCTACTGACCATGCTACAGCAGTGAGCAGCAGAGGTGGGGAGAGGCGGGGCTATGGCTTCATCGTTATCAGGAAAATGATCGTATAGGAGCACACAGAGCTGTTTGCCCCCCAGAGCGTTCCGTCCGCAGATCTATCCACCTTGGGACCCGTTGTCGTTTGAGGAGTCAGTTTCCACGGTTCCGTTACGTCCTCTTGTGAACGAACGGGCAATACGAAAGAGAAAAGTAGCAGATACAACCCGAACCGTATCCATGTACACGGGGCCTTAGACTGTTCTGGGACTTGAAGCAGCAACCCCACGGTTCCTGAGCCAAGTCCCTACAGACTGAGCTCCATTTATTGTTTTCATGGAAATATCCTAGATGTCTTGTGCATAATTACATCATTCTTTCTCCAAAATTCATATTTCTGGAAAATACACAAATAGGGATATTTGGTATCTTTGGACATTTTGGGATCTCCACAAGCATTTAGAACAAAGCTCTGTGGGTTTGAGCAATATTGGCCTGTTTGGCATGAGTTTGTATACTCCAAGCAGGCTTACTCATTTCATCTCTATGTCACCCCGATCTCTATCTCAACTCATTTCCCATCACCTCTTTGCCTAATATTGCCATACATGCTCAAAAATACATATGTCCTTAAGTACTTAACAATACAATTTGCTGAAAATTATGCACAGTAGACTCAGTCTAATTTCAATATTAATAAACTGTTTGGTTTCCAGCTTGATTTTATTTATTTTATAAACCCTATTTTCCATTTCTATAACCCCTATTATTCAATGAATAAAACAAAGGAAGGTAGAATGGGATTCTATTCTAGTACAGAATATGGAAATTTGAATAAATGTAAGCTGACCAAAAAAAGATAGATACAAAATAATAAGGACTGTGATTATCTATATGTTGTTCTTTCCGACTGACCTGCACTTGAGCGAGTAGACTTTCCCCACCAGTTTGACCAGTGGTGTTAGTGGAGGTTTTGGCAGCATAGCAGGGATGCTGCCTGACCGTGGTGGCTGCTGGGAATTGGTGTCCCGATTTTCTCCTCCTGCAGGCACAACACGTCTTGGTGGATGGACCCCTGGAACCACACAGGAAGGTATTAGAGAAACATGCCAAATGTTGATGTTTCCTTTATTCAATTACAGTATTTCTGTATCCGGCTGTTTTGATTTCTAACCCCTTGGGAAGCGCTGGCCAGGGTCGCTGCGATGGGCCGCAGGAGTTCGTGTGTGGCTGTGTGAGTGTCTGGATAACCCTGCGTTCTCTCTGCCCCCTGAAGGCCTCAGGCTGCTGCCGGGCACAGAGTCAGAGTCTGTGGACAGAGAGGGCGAAGCAGCACCCTTCTGGGACTAAGAGTAACAAGAAGATCAAGTAAATAAGAATTCAAATTGCTAAAAACATTGACAGCTTTCCTAAAGACTCTTTTCAAACGCCAGAGCCGGATATTATTTAATAAAACTTTAAAAATATAGCTTACATTAGCTTACATTTTTAACTTTGTAACTTCATTTTTAACTCCTAACTCTAGCTTTTTAGCTTCTTTAAAAAAGATATTTTCTGAGGCATATTAAAGGCTTTCACCTCACATCATAATCATCTGTTTCATGTATTATTATGAGAATGTATCCTGTAAAAGGAATTAATTAATTCATATTTTAGAGCACAGCCTACCTTCTTGATGAAAAAGTCTCCTGAACGATAGCGGCTGGTTAGAGCTGCAACCTTGGCCGGCTCCCTCCGGATCAACTCACTGAGGAGATCGATGGGCGAGCTCGCGCCGTCCGTCTTCCACTCCATGATCCCCAGCTGTCGGAGGTGGGCCCGCGAGTGACTGGCCAGGGCCTTTCGGTTCTCAAAGCGAAAGCCACAAAGCTCACAGGATGCGTCTAAAACAAAGAAAAGATACTCTGAAATAAAAACAAGTATCTCAACTACTGATGACAGATTTGAAATGTATCACCGGTCCAGTGAGTTTGAAAAATAGTCTTATGGCGTATTATTACTAACATTTTTGGTTTAATCCTATGTATCAAACCTGCTAAATCTACAGTGATTTCCTCTCATCCAACCAGACCTTTTTGTTCAAACCTGCCTTGAAATGTACTTGGATGTTACTGCGTGCAGTGCAGTAAGTGGTTAAAGGGACAGCAGAGCAATGCCAACAATGCTGAGAGTGTATCAAGGCAGCATTGCATTGTGTCATGAAAAGAATACATGGAAAAGAGGCTTATCTTAAGGCTAAAATGCTGAGTTTTAAAGGATAAGGCTGGTGTGATTTTATACTTCACTTATATGGAAAGAAAAAAATAACATATTTTGGTCTGACTCTCAATACTCTAAATTCTCTATCATGGCTGTTGCACTCGAACACATCAGTTCCAAATTCAGATGTGAATCTGGCCACCTCAGTGTTAACGAACAAGAGTAACTATTGTATTTGTTAAGGACCATTTTCAGCTGCGGATCAACACACATTTGGTGCAACAATTACTTGGCGGCGCACACAGACTTTTTTGTGCACCAGCGAATCCTAAAATTAAAGCAGAGTCAATCCCTTGTCAAATGTTTGTTGAAAAGACTTTGACACATTGTCCTCAGTGATTGTAAGGAAATGTTCAAACTCTGTTTACCAATATCTTGTCTTAAATGGGGCCTAGTATGTTTTTATTTTTTATTTTGTGCCTCTACTGTGACATGTTTACATCAGGGTTTCCGTTAGCCGGTAATTACCGGTTTTTAGCTGGTAACATTTATTAAAAACCGGTAAATTCAAAACCTGCCGGTCAAAATGTTCGGTAATAATTAGGGATGCTCCGATCGATTGGCCGCCGGTCATTATTGGCCGATATTCACTCTTAATAGTTTGATCGGTGCTCTCTATAAAGGCCGATCAGGAGAGCTGGAACTGATCGATATTGACATAAGCGAGGGAAGTATAACCGGACCCGAGAGAGAGATCAGAGATCAGATCAGCTGCTGAGTCTGAAGGAAACACGCAGCTCTGCATGATCACCTGAAGCCCCGCCCACTGTTTAGCGAGCTGCCTGAGAAACTGACGGGCTGTCAGGAGAGAGAGGGGAGGGAGAGAGGAAAAGAGAGGATCCGTTTCTCCCGTGTTATTATTCAAAGTTAATGTAAACTTTTGAATAATGTACTTCATCTACTACAAATAGTTTGTTTGAATGTAATAATTGTGTTGTTTGTTGTTTGTGGAATCATTTATTGAAAAATGAATCTGAATTTTTCGATCTGTTATGATTCTAAACTCAAGCAATATAAAAATGAGCCCCATTAACTGAGTTTTAAACATCAGCATATATGTGGTCCTAGTCGGGTAATTACCTGCTAACGGAAACTCTGCGAGACAATTATTATTATTATTGAAACATGACTGGTAAGTTTCAAATTTGTCCGGTAAAATAAATTCTGTCCGGACATTTGACCGGCGAGAAAAAATCCTAGCGGAAACCCTGATTCATATCACATCATAATGTATCATATCTCCTTATCTGAGTCAGCTGAGCCGTATCCGGCCGTGCAACACTCACAGTGTCACATACTGTATGCAGAAGTATTATTTTAAGCAACACATTAAGTTGACGAAACACTCGAGACAAATGTAATTAAAGTCAGATTGTGTCTTAGACGGGGCAGTGATATCATAAACCTGTTAATGCACGCATTCAAACACTTTTTCTGTTACCAGCTGTATTCACCTTGCAGGTGCAGCTATGTGGCTTTTATCCTGGATAAAGTGTTTAAGTCATGGATGTTTAAAGTTTAACGTCTTCATATTTGTCTAATATTAAAGTTCACTTTTCATTCAGGAAGTATGACGCTGCGCTGTCAGTATGCTTCTCCATGTTTGTGATTGGTTGAATACTCCAAATACCACCCCTCTCATGTGAAAGCGCACCTAACTAGATAGGACAGGGCTGGCTTGAGTGATCCTCTTGATAACCAGCATCGTAGGACCGCTGAGCGAGAGCGCGTATGTTTTGGATTAGGCCAACCGGCTAACTCAAAAATATCCAGGTTATGTTGAACCGGCTTCATAGTACAGGCCTCAGAACCTCTACCACCATACACCTTCTACCAAACTCACAATGCATGAAAGGATTTAGGAGTACCTCTCCGACCTCCGCGCTTCTCTTCTTCTTTCCATTTCCTACATGCTAGTTAACCTTCATTTCAACCTCAGCAACACTGTCTTCAATTATTGTCATCATTGTTGTTTACACTGTCACAGCTAGTATTGTCATCCTTGTCATCCAGGGACTAGTGAGTGATGTGAGTGTCGTTTCCTCTAGTCTGTCCTGACACCTGCCTTCCAAACAAGGAGGTCCAGAGTTGTTTACTATACCTCTTAGTGATTACTGGGAGAAAACCATTTATTTTGATGNAAGAGTGTCCGCTCTCCGCTTCCTGTCGCCCGAGGGGAGACGAGCGCAGTGTGTGCATGCTACCTGCTGGTTTAGAGCCGTGTACGCGTGCTCTGACCCCCGGCAGGATTCGCATACTGCTTTTATCTCTGCAGGTCATAACTCATTATGAACCCAGAGCCACATGAGGGACAATCACGGACGCAGTTGTTGCTCATGATGATTCTCAATTGCTGTGCTTCAGTAACTGTGCTGGTTTGCTGAAAAAAAGAGGGAGCAGATTGCCGGGCCTCCTTCCTATTTATACCGGAAGGAGGCCCGAGGGTGGGGCCCACCTTGTGGGTGGGCGTGGACTACAAGTGTTTCAGTGCTGCGCGGGGGCGCAGGGGGATTACCCAATAGCGATAGCCTTAGAGGGCGAAGCCATAATCGAAATAGAAGTAAGCTGCGCATGGGTTCCCTCCACAAATAGCAATGAGATTTCTCCATGGGATTTTAGAAAATAGCTCAAAATAAGATCTGTGGGAAACGTACCTGTTAGATAAATACACGTTTCGTTCAGCCGGATAATATCCACATGTCTACCCTGCTTTTATAATTTTATAATCATCACAATATTAATGTTTTACCTCTTGTTCCTTGGTAGCTGGGGCTTGATTGGACTTTGAGTTAGAAAGGCTAGACATGAACTCTTTGAGCTTGTCCAGCTGTTCCCTCACAGCTGAATCTGTTACCTGTCCGCCCAGCTCAAACTGGTAACCCCCATCAGGCAGCACCAGAGGGTGGTGGGTGTCAAAACTCTCCAGTATATCAGCTGAGGAAAACATGACATTAAATTAACAAAAGATTAGGGGAAAAACTCATGTGATCTTGTGGATTATCATATTGTCATGTTTTTGACCTCTTACCAGTTTGGTGTGCTGCAGCCTGGTCCTGAACAGAGGGAGTCCAGCTGTGTCTGCAGGGAGACGCCGGGCCGTAAAGACTCAGGAGGTGGTGCAGTTGGGCCGGACTCAGGGCGGGGTGTTCAGAGCGCAAAGACACCCAAGATGTCTAAACACACAAATAGAACATCACTTAAGGGGAATTAACATCTAACCCTAAACCTTACAAACCATAACCACTAGATACCGAAACCTAAACCTATCCATAAACCAACTATGTAATGATTCATTTTAATTTTCCCAAAAGGAAGGCGAGTCCCCACAATGTGACAGTGTTAACATATGTATGTCCCCACAACACGGGCTATACAAGCACACCCACACACACGTTGTAGCTATAATGTCATAGGGACATCTTCAGACTTTGCTGTCATGACTGTCCCAACGGATAACCCTGATTATTTATTTCATAATGGAATCTGATCATTCAAGTGTTAACTAGTACATTTTTACTGATAAGTACAATACATATTTAACAAAATATTCCATTCTGAGATAATTGTTCGGTGTTCTCTCTCTCTCTGTTCTCCTTCACACAGACATAAGGTGTCTCGGACAAGGACCATGGTTGCGTTCGGATAGTTTAAAAATCAGCTCCTAAATTCTAACCCTATCTCCTATTCCTTGACCTCTGAGTGAAACGTCATGGGGTTAAGGGATAGTGGATAGGAGTATTCAAAAGGACTTCGGAGAAGAGACTGCGGTACTTTAGAGAATCCGAATGCACTTTCACTATCCGATGTGTTTATGATGCGCCAGCGGACGTCATTGTGTGCGTCTGCTGCTGTGGGGAAAATATGGAAACTACAGTTTTCTATACAACGGACGACAACATGCATGTTTAATAAGAACGACGGACTCATCTAGAGACTCTGCACCGTGCTCTGATGCTGTTGCTTTATGAACAACAGAGAGAAAACATATCCTCATGACCAAAAATTAGGAAATTAGAATAAAAAAATAAGAAAGTGAAACTTATGCTCGTCACCCTCTCCCTCCGGTCCACATTAATACAAATGATCCCAATACGTATGATTGTATGAGCTATGAAAATATCTTAAAATCAATACAAATGTATTTATTATAAACGTTAGTCTTTAACACCTATCACTGTGTATATCATTATAATAAATACATTTGTATTGATTTTAAGATATTTTCATAGCTCATACAATCATACGTATTGGNAGAACCCTGAAAATGACGCTGTTGCAACTGAACGGACACTTATTTTTTTATTTGGTATCACACCACTAGATGGTCAAAACGGGTAAGAAGAAAACTTTGTCGTTCTGGCCGATTGTGGGATAAAGGTTGTTAGTGTGAGGGACAGTAACTGTATTAATTATACTATCAAATCGATAGAGTGCTAGTAAACGACACGGGTGACTACAATTTGCTAGCATTGACTTTCCGACGGACGTTTGCATTTTGTAAGTCGGTGCACTGAACCTTTGAGATCGCTCTCAAATGTGATCTGCCTAGGAAAGATCGGTATTGGTTCGAGATCCCTCGGTCTCGTCTCCCGAATTTCCCGGCGTACGCCCGAGCTCGGCGCTCAACTGCTGGGGGACTAGATTCACTTGCCACCTGACATTTTTAGATGTGGACGCGTACGAGTCTCATAACAAGGATAAAGTTACACACACACCGTTTTTTTTTTATATTACTGGTATCCCCGTTATCTCGAACGGTAGGGGGTGGTATGCAGGGTAGAGTGTAGTAAGTCTCGACTAAACGAACATTCATGCACACGGCGCTTTTCACACCACACACTTCTCCTCCTCTCTCTGCGCAGGGTTTGCAATAAAATATTCCCTTTCAGTGTTTTACTATTATCCTGCAGCATTAATGTGTATGTTGCATCATGTTACTGCTGTAGATGTGTTTCCGAGCCGCGAGAACGTGACGTAATATTTACACAAGACGGATCCTTTCTAGCCATAACCCTTGAGCTTACACAAAAATAAGAAGGAAATAAAATAAAAGTATTTGTAGGACTATTTATATTTTCTTGCATGGTTGAAAATGTTTTGTATCTTGTATTTTGAGGTGATACTGTGACACATAAATAAAAAACAAAACGGTTTTATTTAAGTCAACTAAAAGATGCATCACATCCTGCTACGGTCCCGCGCTAGCGCCTTTTCTTGCAGGCGAATAACCTGACCCCCGGCTCCATGAGCGAACTATGGATAAATCAAAGAAAAAGAAAAGTACTGGAGGAACACAGGATTTAATTCTGCGTGGACAGAGTTATATGCTTTCACAGCAAACGATGCTGGTTTACCGGTATGTTTGAAATGTAGAGAGAAGTCGTCAAAGGTGCTGCAGCCGTATCGAGGAGAAAAATGGAAGAGGAAGACAGCTGATGATCTTCAGTCATAATTCAATGGGGTATGTAATTTATTTCAGAAAACACTTTTTGTTATATTCCATGGAATGCTCTTAACGTCCCGATAGCAATGAATATATTAAATGCTTTGACAATAAATACATAAACATGTTTATCTCTGGAAGCCGTAGCGCTGTAAAAAGCACGACCAATCATTTGAACCGGCCCGGCTAAAATAACTGAATGGCCTACCTGCCTGTTAGCCTTCCATCTGTGCACAAACTTATCTCGTGCCCTCATTGGTCATGTGCGCGTTCGTGTGTGTTGGAGGAGGGGCTCTGTAAAGAAGTCTAAAGGAAGAGGCAGATTTTCTCCAGTTGTGTATTTTCAAACTCTAGCGCACTCAAGCTGGTTTCTCCATTCTTACCTACCCTACCTTTAACTCTTTTTAGGGTGCAGCTATATGTTTTATTTTTTTCAAAGTGGGCCCATTTTAATATTTATTTTCCTTCAAATGTGCAGAGGACTCCCCAAGTGCTGTGTTTAATTTATTTTAAAGTAGGCCTGTGTATTATTTTGTAATTCTCCTTATAGGAGTTCTTTGTTTCTTATTAGAGGTTAACAGTTTTATATAATGTAATAAATAGCCTAATAAATGCAAAACCACTGTAGTTTTTGTCTGATATAACAATAAATACAATTTTATAAGCTATCAAGCTATGAAATATGTGTTGCGGCTCCAGACAAAAACAATTTGGGGAAAAAGGAGCAAAATGGCTGTTTTGGTCTAAAAGGTTGCAGACCCCTGACTTAGACAGTGAGAGGGAGGGCATGATCGGGTTTTGTCCACATGGCTCTACAACAGCTCATAGGCGAGGCACACAGCTGTAGACAACTAATTAGAAGAACACTAGACTAAAACAGCAATGCACAGAACGAATCCAGATGATTACAACATGATCGTTAAAATATATTTTTTTATATATTTTTTTTTTTTTGTTTGCATTTTTTTGTAATCATTATTTGTAATACTTTCTTCTGACACTAGGTGGGGCTGTGCCAGTCGCCACTGGCAACACCCATGGTGAAAAATGACCGTGATAAAGAAAAGGACTTAGTAACCATCCGGATCAGATAAAACACACACACACACACAGAACAATTTGACACATTTCCCGCTCTTCTGTGCCCATCCCCCCACATGGATCACACCTGGCACACGCAATACATGTTCAGTGTCTATTCTTTGTATATTTACTGCAGTTTTTCATGTATACCAGTAGTCTGATACAATATTTACAGTTTGAAAGGGTGTTAAATGACATTTGTTGATGATTAATGGTTTTTGTGTTAATGTTAAAACAGTTAAAAACAGTTAAAAAAACAGTTAAAACAGGACCGGTCAAATCTGACTGAACACCAAAGTAAGGGGGGGGGAAACGAAGGCAATAGGAGGGTTAAACAGCTCCTTCTGGTGACAAAAAAGGTTCATTACAACTTCACATGTATTAGTAATGCCCAGACCTGCAAGCACAATAGTATGCATACAATTGGTTGCATTCCCCTTTAAGTTGGCCTATTCTAAAAATTGGTTTTCTAATTTATCTAAACCAGTGTTTAGTGTTGGGTACTTTTTCAAGAACTGCTAACTTGAACAACTCCCCACTCAACACCACCTGTCAGTAGGTTTGCAAAAATACATCCGCCAAGTCTGAAGTCCTGAAATGGTTGTCAAGATACTCAAAAGACATAAAGACAGACAGAGATTACTTCGACCCTAGTAAGATTGTTGTATTTGTCATTCAGATGGATATCCTTCCAAAAGCCAGTCTGGAAACCTTGGATACATCTTCAGTTGAGGCTATTGTCTTTGACCACCAGTCCCCTTGTACCACCTTTGGTGCCTTACCTCCATCACCCCCATCCCCTCCCTCACCATCATCCACGCAATACCTGGATGAGTTCATCTCCTCAGGTGCCATCCTTTTGTCCCAGAAGCTCAGAAATCTGGGGCTGCAGACTGGTGGAAGCAGTGAGACGAGGTCAGCTCTGGAAACCTCCTGTTTCCTCACCCCGCCCAACACCCCCCACATCGTAGATCGTGTTCATTTGGTGAGGCCAGACCAGGAAAGATGGATGAATGGGGAAAGTGAGAAACTTCTCACCTCGGATGTAGATGCACATGATGAAGGTACAGCTACATCATCATTCATGATTGTCTCCTGTTTGTCAGCAGTAACAAAAAACTAAACATGCTTTATTTTCTCCTTAGGTGGATTGGTGTTTGAATGTCTGTCTGCTCTTAAAGTAGACCGTTTTAATTCAGATTGCCCCAGGATGGAGAGATGTGTTGAACTGAAAGAGGAAATGGAGGAGGATGACCATTATGACGACAATAATGATGAGGTTTTTAGCTTGGAGCTGGAGCGAGGGGAAAGAGGACTCGGTCTTGCTCTGGTTGACACAAGGGTGACTGAAAGAGATGAAGACCAACATACAAAACAGAAGCCCATTTTCCTGCTTTTTTATGACACTTTGAATTTTCTTTCCAGGACACGCCCTTGAAGGTGAAAGGCATCTTTATCCGTGCTGTAGTGCCAGACTCTCCTGCAGCACGCTGTCAGAAGCTGCTGCCAGGAGACAGGATCCTGGCTGTTAATGGAGTCAGTCTGCTTGGACTGGACTACCACAGGTAAGAAATATTAAAATCTGAGCAAACTCATATTTAAATATCAAATACAGGTTGTTGTTGTTGTTGTTGTCTTCTACACCTCTGTGTCTCTGTTTTATCTCTTTCAGTGGCAAGGATCTGATCCAGTCATCAGGGGAGAGACTGAGGTTACTGCTGGCCAGAGCTGACTGGATGACTAAGGCTGTACAGACTGAATGCTGACGGCCTTTTTTTATTGTTTCTTTTAACCAAGAAACCATCAGCGCACTTGAAGATAATTATAAGATCTTGCTCAACATTGAAGCTCAGGACATGTGCCGTAATATAAGTTTACTGTATGGGTGATGTAAAGATAAAAATGCACTATAAAATGAGTCCTGTCCTTGTATTTAGTATAGTTTGTATTTGCTTAATGTAGTCTTGAAGCGTTTTCTTTTACATTGTAACATGATATATTGATGTCTATATTTGAGTTTGTGCTCAAGTGAATACAGAATATTGATTCCAGACTGCTTACCTTAACTTGAAATGTTTTATTAGTCATAGCCATCTTCATACATTCTCTATAAGGCAAAGTCATTTCATTGTCACTTTCAATTCTTGGTATGACCATGTCTGATATCTCATTTGTGTTGTTATGAACGTACATATACAAGTAAGGAGACCTGAGGCTCATCAAGTTTATTCTTTTATAATGCCAAGTAAAAGTTGATCCGAAGTTTTCTACATCAAATATCTAGAGTCTAATATCTAAGTCTGGTAATGCTGTTAGCTTGAATGTAAAAATACACACTCCTCATAAATCTATCATCAGTTTGGCCGTAACACAAAAAAGGTTAAGACCTCTAGGTCAGTCAAGCAAAATCTGAATCTTAAGTATTGAATTGACAAATAAAGAAGTGAGAAAGTTGCTCTGGCATAATACCAATGACACCAATCATCTACGAGACAATCAAATCTAATTAGAGAAGTTTAATGAAAGTGTGTCTTTCTGCACTTCTGCTGCCACAAACCTCAATAACCAAATGTACATTTTAATTAGTTGAATTTAACTTATAGGTTTCTTTGCATTATTGATTGCTGGAAAAGGCATTGTTTAAGTATCAAATTTGTAATGGAAATCTTTCATTTTGTCTTTGTAAATAGCGACAAAGTACTCTGCTTCTGCCACGGTTAGTTGGTGTTTCCAGTCTCTAGCAATTCCTGCAACACAACATGCAAAAAAAGAACATCTTAATTCAGTTGAAGAACATTATACAGTATGTCAGTTACTTTACGACTCACTTCCTGTTACCATCTCCCGAAGAGCCATAGATGACTCAGCACTTATCAATGCCCCTACCCCCAAATGTTGTCACTTTTTCAAATGAAGTTATCTTGGCGATATTCTTTTGATATGTTATGCATTACAAATGCCATATTACGTCAATACTATCATTTTACTAAATGTCATGCTTGTATTATAATTATGCACCATGTATTTTCTGCTATCTGCTCCAGTGGCAAGGGATATGGGATCAGTTAACCAATAGTTCAGCCCTTCATAGTAGTAGTGCTTTGCCTTTGATTTTCAATTGAGTCCTTACTTACAGCAATGTTAATCCAGCAAACAAGGTTTTCTTAAATTACGGTTCTTATTTCTGATTGTTTTTTTAATTAATCCAATATTGCTACATAGGCCAATCCTCCATCGGGGAGGCAGGATGGTGTGCAAAAACTAAAATGCCCCAGGCAGCTTCCTTTTCAACTGCCACGTTTACATTACATTACATGTAACTTGTTGGAAGCTTTTATCCAAAGCGACTAACATACATTCAGTACTGTGGGCAATCCCCACAGGAGCAATTGAATGAAGTATCTTACCCAGGGACACAACAACATGTTGAGTGCAGTGGGACTCAAACTTTCTTTCCTCTGATCTGAAGATCAGTGTATCCCACTGAGCTACAGCCTCCCCATTTCCTGCACTTATTCTCTTTCTGCCGAGGAACCAAGCGCCCCCAACAGCCCAACTCCAGTAAGCTGGTTAGCAAAATTGGCAAGCATCATTAGGGCAGGTTTTTCCTTCCAAAAAGGACAGGTCTGATGTTAGTGCTCAACTCATTGATGTCAGAAATGTTGTAGTTGTGGACTCTGACCTACATTTCGAAACCCACGTCAACAGAATAACGTTTTCCCCAACCTATATATAGGAGGCCTATATGCATGGGTACTGTGTAACCACAGCTACACCGTAGAAGCAAACATTTACTGCATTAGCTTCAAATAAGCCAAACCTTTTGTGCTGTATGTGTTATTTATTGACACTCACCTTTTCCTGAGAAACTCAGATTTTGTCTGGTCCAGTAATTTACTAGGAGCAGTAGAGTAGTTTGACATGTTGTTCTTCTTCATGTTCTTGAACAAACATCGGTCGGCTATCTTCTCTATCGCTTCATCGTCCAGAGATTTCTGCAGGAACTGAGCGATTCAACCCACAGAGTCCTTCAGGTCCTGCAGAGAAACACAGATAAGCTCATAGCCCTGCAGTGGCTCTCCCAGTATACAAGATTTTAGGAAGGCCTGGGTTTACCAGGAAGGAAGCCGCCTCATGAAGATGAAAAGACGATGGAAACACATCATTGGGGTTCCTCGTCACATAGATGACCTGCAGTGATGACATGACGTCAGACCCTTTCCTTCACACATACTGTCTGTGATGCGTTCATCACATTGAATCTGATCCGCCTTAGTTGATAGGTTTACCTTTGGCTTTACTTCAAAGAAAGATGGTGGCATCATGTTGTAATCGAAGTGTGTAGTCAACAGTCGTGGAGATGGCCTCTGTTCGAGTTTGAGGGAGGCGGTCTGCTGGACTTCAAGCCAGGGAACACGTTTCCAGTTAAAAATAGTGTCAACAGGTGCTGGATCTCCTCCACTCATGATCAGAGGGACAATCTCCCTCATCCAGTTTGTACCTAAACAAAAAAAATAAAAATATTTTCTTAAATATGTATTTATTAGCCCTTCCAAAACTTGGTGTGAGGTGAAATTATACCCATTTTCATCCCCCCCTTACTTTTGTTAGCTTGTATTTAAATGCGGCCTTCAGAAAAAGATAACCGTAAATTGTTAATACCATGAAAACATTCAAAAAGTTACAGGCGATAACCAACAAGGAGGATGGGGTTTTGCTTATCTTGTGTGCTTGCCAAATGTAATACTTCATAAGGCGTGTTCACACCAAGTACTTTTCCCACAAAGGTTCCTGAGAACTACGATCTAGTTGCGTTCACACCAAAAAGTCCCAGGAACTAAATTAGTTATAGAGAATCTTTTTTACCCCCTTTTCAGTCCCTGCTAGAGAACAGG